GAGAAGTTGTTAAGGGAAATCAAAACCTCACAAAACTTCTATTTGTTATTTACCTAGTTAACCTACCTGTTATGTTAACACAACGTAATAAAGTAATTTGCTAAAAAAGTATCCACAAGAAGTACTGTGAACATCACAATATGATTGGAACGTTTATGTCAATTGTCACTTGTCAATTTTTCTTGTCATATGTCATGTTTCTGTTTTTTTTAAACTTTGAGAATTTATTTTATAATTATTTAAAAATTTGAGTAGAATTGGTAAAGATCCTCTATAAAATAGAAAACTATTTTCTGAGCCATTTTCTTCGTTTTAGATTACAATGGCTGTTGTAAATTTTATCAAAATGTCCGGGAATATTTGGATCATATTTTTGTAGAAGTTTTCGACAAAATGACCTGGAGCTGGTTTATAAAATTATAAAAATGTCCGGGAATATCTGATTACTTTGTTAGAAGCTAGATAGAAGGACTTGGTTTATGAAATTATAAAATGAGGTCCTCTTTTTTTGGAAGCTCGGCAGAAGGACTTTGTTTATAAAATTATAAGCTAAGCACTTTTTTTTTAGAAATTTCACTAAGGTTCGGTTTTTGATAAATGAAAAGGTGGCAACCCTATTACAAAATGGTTGAACTACAATAAAAACAAATAATGGTAGATAAACATCGGTAAACGAGAAGTTACATTTTACTTATAAATACTTGAAATACCGTATGAAAGAGATATACAAAACTAAGTTGCCACGTTACTGGCCTATCTAAAAATGTAAGTGTAATTCCTTTTTCCCTAGCTGGCTCTTAAAATTTAATGATTCGGAGAGTGAAGGGATTAATAAAAGTGTATCTAACTGTGATTTGATATATCTCTTTTAGCTCATGCACAATTTACCCTGTAGTTTATAATCCCCTACAAATGGTTATTAAAGCTGTTAATGTGTTGATGGTATTAATGATACGATACAATTCATCTTATGGTCCCCCTTTTAGTACTAGAAGGTGCACAGGTGAGTTTACATATTTAATTTTTCAAGTTTATCTGCTATAGTTTATATTTATTTTAGGAATTAATCGAAACGAGCCACTACTTCCAAATCTGGAGAAATAGAAAAAGATAGTCCTTGCTTGTGGCTGAGAAGTTATAAATCTTACTGGTGATCGTTCAGGATGCCGTAATAACTGATGATAGCTCATGGAGGCGCCAAAGCCTCAGCTAGGGACTGCAAGTGAATCGCAGCTATATAAATTGAGATTCCTATGCATGTCGCTAACATATGTGTTTTAGGTAATATTTCAGTTCAACAAAAGACTCACTAAGTTATTAGATAAATAATTATTCAGTAGATAATTACAGTAAATGATAAATAAAGGCCTAAAATAAAATAACACTATTGGTATGTGATTTTAGGGAAGTATGGAGAGGTCGAACTTATCAAAGATTTTTGGGGTCCTTCTTCTCTGAAATTTTATAAAAAGTAAATCTACAGCTAGGTACATGGTACGTCTATATTGAAAAAAAAAATAGATTCAAGCAAGTGCAATACTAGAAGAAAATTTGAGAAAAATCACAGACGATTCCCTCGAGCGTACATCAAAATATCTTGCTAAAAAACATGAGTTGTTTTTTTATAAAATCTTCATACTAACTTGGAAATCCATAATTAAGCATAAAATTTGTAAAATTAAAAAAAAATTAAAAACAGTAACATTGGAGGTTTTATTTAAAACAAAGTAAAACAAAATTATCTAAAAATAAGTGCAACGATTTAAACTTGAGCATATTTTTTTAGTTTCTATATAATTTCCTTCAATAATAAACAAGTAGGTCAATCTCTTTTTTATTCAATATGTTGTGGAAAAGTAAAATCATTTTATATAAAACTATAATTTATCCTCTTCTAATAAATTGCCATATACTTATGTTACATTATAGCATAAATAAAAATATTTCCAAACCACATGTAGTTTGCCTACCACCTTTGCATAAATAATAAACTAACAAAATAAAAATATATAAATATCTATACAAAAAAAAGTTATAAGGTTTGATTTTAAAAAGATGATATATCTCTGCGAGTACAGGTAAGCAATCTGGAACCTCAGCTATCTCGTATAATATATACCTAGTCATTGTTGCAATCATCTATTATTCAGAGATCTAGTTTTTTTTAGCATCATACAATTGCCATCTTAAAACGTACCTTATATAAAATATACTTTTGTACAATCGTTCACTGTTTAAGCTTCTAGTGAACCTTTGCAATATTGATAACTTATTATACTATTAAGCAAATTTTGTCCAATCGTTCAGTGCTTTATAGGTGGCTTCTACTATCGCATATGTGTAACTGCGTTTGTGATATACCTACCTCTACTTTTGTGATATTACTACTTGATTTCAATAACATTTTAATAATAAATTTATATAAATATTTTGTTTTATTTGAAATTTCCATGTCTCGATTGAGTTTTTGCTATACCTCAATCTCAGCCTCTCTGTATTACATTACACAAAGAACAATATAGTGTGTCCATGGATGGATTTAATTATACTTGTAAAATATTTATTTTAAGTTAAAAAAAGTTATTTTTCATAATTTCTTAATGTGAATCGAATTTAACAAGTAAAAGAAACTTTTTTTAATTTAAAATAAATATTTTCACAAGTATAGTTAAGTCCATCCGTGGACACACTGTATAATGATGTAGAACTAATTCACATCATAACATCTATAGAAAGTTTCAGAGCAACTTTCAGGGTAAGTACCTTAAAAGTGCTAGTGTGATGTTTTCCGAACTTCACTTTGTAACCTCTGTGAGATGTGCTATAAAAGTCTTGCCGTTGCGGACATTCGATGGTTGCAGGGATATTAGGGTTACATTAAAAGTACATCGCATGTGAGCTTAAAGAGCCTAAAATTGCAGCTTATTAATGGGATGTTTTTGTGCTAGCTGGGAAAGTAGCCTCCTCTGTACAGTTATTTGTTATTATGCAGAATTTACACATAAAGTAGTATCTTCAGCCACAAAAGTTTTGCGAAATTTGCACATAAAGTCGCATTTTTCGCTCTGCATACGGCTTATATGAATGATGTATCTTCTACATATTTACAGTAAAGCAGTATCTTCTGCAAGCTAAAAATCAATTAAATTATGAAGAAAATCATTCTCAAACCTGTACTAGTATAAGATCAGAGTTAACACATAAAGTAGCCTCCTCTGTACATGTCTTTGTCTATAATGCAGAATTTACACATAAAGTAGTATCTGCCCTCATCAAGGTTTTGTGAAATTTGCACATTAAGTAACTTTTTTCGCTTTGCAGACGGATTTAATGAATGACTGCACCGTTAACACATAAAGTAGTATCTTCTGTATATTTATTTGTCGTCTAAATGCAGAAATTTACACATAAAGTAGTATCTTCTGCAAGCTGAAAATCAGTTAAATAAAAAGAAAAACATTATTTTCCTACCTGTGCTCTGAATTTCTTCATTTATTTTTCAATTTATCGAATTTCTGATATGATTTGCGTTTTCGATAGTTACCCATGTTTTTATAATCGCTGAAATGTGGTCGGTTTGAACGATGTGAATCACGCGACACAACAATTGGTAATGAGAAAATGTAGGCAGGCAGAGATAGAGATTAACGTAAAATTTTAAATCTGAACATGTGGGTCAGCGGCGTAACATAGGTATACTACATGGTTATCTTTATTTCCACTAACAAGGCTGTGAAGCATAATTTATTTTGAAGTTTAAAGGTTAGTTTCTCTCTGTTTGTTAGGTCTGAAGGGATTTTCGTTTACAGTGTACTTAGGTGAGTATATTTATGATTTTTTAAATACAAAATTAAGTTGGGATCTGATCGTCTTCATACAATAATATTTATTTTGATATTAAATGGTCAATTTTAAATTTTACCCTGTTTGACTGTTCTGAAGGAATTTTTTCTTGTAGGCTATTTTACTTCGTATATTTATAATTTTTTAAATGCAAAACTAAGTTGGGATCTGATCGTCTTCATGGGGTAATTATTTATTTTGAAGTTTAAGGGTTAATTTTACCCTGTTTGACGGGCCCGAAGGGATTTTCGCTAACAGTGTACTATGGTGAGTGCATTTATGATTTTTAAAATGTAAAAACAAGTTGGGATCTGAACGTCTTCATAAGGTAATTATTTATTTTAAAGTGTAAGGGTTAATTTCACTCTGTTAGACGGGAGTTAAATTTATTTAACTCGAAAATAATTTTTTAAAAAAACAAAAATTTACTTTTCGAAGGTTAGATACTTTATTTATGACTTTGTTCTACAACAATCTAAGCTGGAATGAATTTTTATAATATAATTTTAATGATAATAATAAATGCAAAGTTAACAGTTTGCGCCGTTTACGGTTTTATATTTTAATAGACTCGACGTTTCTTCTTATATAACTCGGGTCTCAAGGGATTTTCGCTTACAGTGTACTTTGGTGAGTGTATTTATGATTTTTTAAATGTAAAATTAAGTTGGGATCTTAACGTCTTCATTCGGTAATTATTTATTTTGAAGTTTAGGGGGTTAATTTCACCCTGTTTGAGGGGTCCGAAGGGATTTTTGCTTACAGTGTACTTTGGTAAGTGTATTTATGATTTTTTAAATGCAAAACTAAGTTGGGATCTGATCGTCTTCATTGGGTAATTATTTATTTTGAATATGTACATATTAATATATCTATGGTAGCAACGGATGGTGGAGAACCTGCCATGGTTGGGCTATAGTTGGAAGCTGATTAAATTTGTATGTAATAGGTCACAAAAAACTTTCAAAATATTTCGTTTTGACTTACTAGATATATGTCCACAACTGTCCCTACCTTATGACTTGAACACCCCATATATAATTGTAAATGATTGTGCGCACTAAGTTTTGTACCAAATATCGATTTTCCTCAGTGCTTGCTCAAGGTTTTGCGCAATGCTAAAAATATTTTCCTTCTCTAAAATATAACCGCGTTTTCATATACATTGACATTATAACTAACAACTTTTCTTATAATTTACAAGTTTGTACCTCAGTACTGATCAAGTCATTTCATTTGCTCTTAAATATGTGATAAATTACTTATTAAAAACAAAAATGAACGAGAAATGTGGAATATATTCAACAAAATGTCTTTTTCCACCAATCTAAAATATTTAGAATGCCTACGCTGGTCGTACACGGTTCCAATATTGTGTTACATGGCATTTTTATTCATGATATGGATGCTTGCAGTACCGTTGAAACAAAACATCAAAATAGTAAAGGAATTGAACGTGGATTCTGAGGATACTTTCGAAATCAGAATAAAGAATAGTAATTTTAATACTGATAAAAAACCGGAAGAAGAAATTGAACAAAAAAATGAGTATTTAGTTAATGTCGATGATGAGGAGTATTTGAACAAGGACAGCACTCGTATACTTATGGAGGTTTTTGAAAAGTAAGTACTTTTTTGGACGATAATTCATTTTGTATTCGGAAGCGAAAATTAATGAAAAAAACCATGCAGCATGATGTCCTATCCAAACAATGATGTTATTATAGACTGAACGTATTAGATTAAAAATATTATACAGGGTGCATGGAGCTACTATAGGCTCAAAATAAGTTCTTTAACCAAACTTACCTATATACTAAGTTGCTTCGTTTGGCAGCTAGAGGCCAACAAAGTTAAACAAAAATATTGTTTTTTTTTTATCTCCAGAATTCAGTCATTTTAAAAGATCAAACTTGGTAAGAAAACTATAGATTATGGCCAATTAAAAGCAGCAGGAACAATTTTTCTATTGCGATCATAATAAGCGTTTTATTAGAGGGCAACAGATATTTTCCTTAATTTTTTTTATCTGTCAGATTTTGATATTTCTCTCATTAAAATAGTAAATGTTACTCAAACCTCAAAAAAGTTACTCTTATTCGATGTCGTCATGAGTAGGGTGACTGCTCCGGTTAGCTTCCTATTGTCGGCCGCTTTTAAGTTTGTGTGCACAAAATAAAGTTACTCTCTAAATGTTTATTCAATTAATATTTCACCCCCTTTCAGGCCATATATTTCCTAAAGTTGCGCCAATCCATTTCTAAAAATAGATACCAGGTCGGAAAATAGCAACTAGCTTGTATCTTACGAGTATTACAATGTAGATGTTTTAAACCAATTAGATATAAATAGTACATATTTAGCTCTTTAAAAATATAAGAATAATTGTTTTAACCTAAAAAATATTTAGTTGGTGAGGTGGTCGTTAAACTGGACACAAAAATTTAATTTATCTGATTCTCGGCCAGGGTGGCCGTAAACCGGTAAAATTTGTCTACTTGTTGGTGTCTCTTTTTGATGTTATTGTTTTACATATTACCTTTATTATTTCGTCCATTAGTTCTCAGGGTATATAGCAAACCAGTGCCAGTTACCGGTCACCTATAGCGAAAGTAAAAGTTGGAAATGCTTTTGGTAGGTAGAGAGAGGGTAATAACGTCAAACCACGTCGGACGGCTTCGAGAATTTCGCAGTAATGTTAACCTGTCAGTGTCGTTTTTATAGAATAAGTAATTTTAAATTGTTATCGGCGGAACCGGACAATCGCATGTATTTATGGACTATAAATAATTATTAAACATGTATTATAATATTAAAATCATAATTTTACAAAATTTCAATAGCTATTCACAATTTATTAAACTATTTACTCGAAATCGTTATTAACATCTATAAAATAATTTTGTACGCTAATGTATCGCGTCCACTTCGGTGAGATCCGCCGCAAATCTGTCAATTTATGTGTATAAAGTGGGAGAACTGGAAAAAGCCTTTCCAACTTTTACTTTTGCTATACTTATTATCAAAATGCGCGCGAAATATAAATAGTCGATATTCAGTGGCCGAAAACAAGAGAATGATACCGGTTTTCGACCTCCTATTTAATAGCTATTTGTATTACTAGGGAGGAAAGTGCCACTTTTCCTCCCGCAGGATGAAGTTTACTGCCCGACGCGAAGCGGAGGGCAGTAAACATCCAAGGGAGGAAAAGGCACTTTACTCCCAAGTAATACATATGATTTTTCCGCCTCCCTCAAATAACAAGTCATTTTTAAATAATTTATTTATGAAACTAATAAACAATAGTACATTATATACCTAGGGTGAGAAGTGAGCTATTATTTACCGAGCACTTTTATATCCTGAGGCGCATAGCGCCGAGGGATATAATGTGCGAGGTAAATAATAGCTTTCTCAGCCGAGGTATATATAGAATTTTTTTTACTACTAACATTAATGTATTAGCAATTTTAATTTTGACATAAGTAATTTCCTAACAATTTGTTAAATATTTCGAAATATCAAGCAGACTGGAGCGTGTTTCTAATCAGACTGGCTTTATTTATGTAAAAATTTGGCATGTGTCAAATTTTGGTATGATTCTAGGAAATATCCCATTGCATTTTTGATATTTTAATGACATGGATTTATTGTTATTAATTAATAATTTTTAAAGCCGGTGTTGAATTTCCTAGTTAATATATATTTTTACTGTTTACACTGATATATATTATCATATTTGATTTGATTAGATTTGATAAACCCAGCTTTAGTTATTTCCTACTTATTTTTCAAATATTTCAAAATATCAAGTAGTCTGGGAGTTTAGTTGTCAAATTAACAAAATGAAACTAATGAAATTTAGTTTCATTATTTACCTAGGTTTTTTTTTATTATCATTATTTACCTAGGGAGAGAAATATTACTTCTCATTAGAGGAATGGAGTAAATAATGGTGATTTCTCATGTTAGTAGTAAAAAATAGTACATTATATACCTAGGGTGAGAAGTGAGCTATTATTTACCGAGCACTTTTATATCCTGAGGCGCGTAGCGCCGAGGGATATAATGTGCGAGGTAAATAATAGCTTTCTCAGCCGAGGTATATATAGAATTTTTTTTACTACTAACATTAATGTATTAGCAATTTTAATTTTGACATAAGTAATTTCCTAACAATTTGTTAAATATTTCGAAATATCAAGCAGACTGGAGCGTGTTTCTAATCAGACTGGCTTTATTTATGTAAAAATTTGGCATGTGTCAAATTTTGGTATGATTCTAGGAAATATCCCATTGCATTTTTGATATTTTAATGACATGGATTTATTGTTATTAATTAATAATTTTTAAAGCCGGTGTTGAATTTCCTAGTTAATATATATTTTTACTGTTTACACTGATATATATTATCATATTTGATTTGATTAGATTTGATAAACCCAGCTTTAGTTATTTCCTACTTATTTTTCAAATATTTCAAAATATCAAGTAGTCTGGGAGTTTAGTTGTCAAATTAACAAAATGAAACTAATGAAATTTAGTTTCATTATTTACCTAGGTTTTTTTTTATTATCATTATTTACCTAGGGAGAGAAATATTACTTCTCATTAGAGGAATGGAGTAAATAATGGTGATTTCTCATGTTAGTAGTAAAAAATAGTACATTATATACCTAGGGTGAGAAGTGAGCTATTATTTACCGAGCACTTTTATATCCTGAGGCGCGTAGCGCCGAGGGATATAATGTGCGAGGTAAATAATAGCTTTCTCAGCCGAGGTATATATAGAATTTTTTTTACTACTAACATTAATGTATTAGCAATTTTAATTTTGACATAAGTAATTTCCTAACAATTTGTTAAATATTTCGAAATATCAAGCAGACTGGAGCGTGTTTCTAATCAGACTGGCTTTATTTATGTAAAAATTTGGCATGTGTCAAATTTTGGTATGATTCTAGGAAATATCCCATTGCATTTTTGATATTTTAATGACATGGATTTATTGTTATTAATTAATAATTTTTAAAGCCGGTGTTGAATTTCCTAGTTAATATATATTTTTACTGTTTACACTGATATATATTATCATATTTGATTTGATTAGATTTGATAAACCCAGCTTTAGTTATTTCCTACTTATTTTTCAAATATTTCAAAATATCAAGTAGTCTGGGAGTTTAGTTGTCAAATTAACAAAATGAAACTAATGAAATTTAGTTTCATTATTTACCTAGGTTTTTTTTTATTATCATTATTTACCTAGGGAGAGAAATATTACTTCTCATTAGAGGAATGGAGTAAATAATGGTGATTTCTCATGTTAGTAGTAAAAAATAGTACATTATATACCTAGGGTGAGAAGTGAGCTATTATTTACCGAGCACTTTTATATCCTGAGGCGCGTAGCGCCGAGGGATATAATGTGCGAGGTAAATAATAGCTTTCTCAGCCGAGGTATATATAGATTTTTTTTTACTACTAACATTAATATATTAGCAATTTTAATTTTGACATAAGTAATTTCCTAACAATTTGTTAAATATTTCGAAATATCAAGCAAAGTGGAGCGTGTTTCTAATCAGACTGGCTTTATTTATGTAAAAATTTGGCATGTGTCAAATTTTGAAATGATTCTAGGAAATATCCTATTGCATTTTTGATATTTTAGTGACATGGATTTATTGGTATTAATTAATAATTTTTGAAGCCTATTACCGGTGTTGAATTTCCTAGTTAATATATTGATATAGAAACCCCCTGTATATCAATTTTCTTAATAAATTTGCCCAGACTCTTAAAAGGGGGTGGTTCGGCTCTAAAATTTTACAATATAAAATTAAAAACCAAATTATAATAAACTTAAAAAAAAATTTGAATGTTTCTTCTTAGGGGCCCTGCTTTTCCTATTTCTTTTGCTTCTTCTGCTTCTCCTGTTTTTCCTAATTCTCCTGCTCCTCCTCTGTACTCCGACCTCCTACGTCTGCTATCTGATACACTTTCCTCTTAAATTGAAATAAAACTTTTCACTACCTTTCTTTTATGTTTAACTCCTTGTCTCCTCTGCTCACTGTCTACTTTTTTTTGAACTGCTGTTTACCTCTGTCTACCTCGATTCCTCTCACTGCTCTATCTGTTCTCTAAACTTTGCAATAAAATCTCTTTTGACCTTTTTATATATTCTCGTTTATTTTCTCTTTTTCAAAACAAATTCAAAATATCATATCTCCCTAAAAGCTTTTTGACAATCTCTAATTTCCCTGACAATTTAATTTCAAATCAACAAAAACCCCGACATTTTTATTTTTAACTGAAATTTTAATTTCAAGACACTTCACCACCCCAGTATCGTTTAATATAGATAATAAATTTGACGACGTCAGGAATTTCTATATCAATATATTTTTACTATTAACCTGATATATATTATCATATTTGATTTGTATAGATTTTAATAAACCCAGCTTTAGTTATTTCCTACTTATTTTTCAAATATTTCAAAATATCAAGTAGTCTGGGAGTTTAGTTGTCAAATTAACAAAATGAAACTAATGAAATTTAGTTTCATTATTTACCTAGGTATTTTTTTATTATCATTATTTACCTAGGGTGAGAAATAT